ATTTTATCGCATTTCTGCTAATTTTCCGTTCCCTTATTTTTTGAACAAACCTAAATGAGAATGACATTTCGAACTGTTCTCTCTTCTGCTAGTTTTACTACTAAAAAAGTACTGGAACACAACTTATATTTCCAAATCAAACGTTGAAACCACACGTGTTTAGATTATTTTAATACGTATACGCACACACTTTTTGTTTTCTAAAAAATTCGCAAAAATAATTGTTTGAAATTTAAAAATGGAAAGAATTGATGCTTTAACTCAAATTTTTTGCCAATGATTCGATCGACAGGAATGTCAACAAATAATATTTAACAATATACTCGGATCTGAAGAATAAATTGATGAAAATCTTGATTATAATAAAAAAACTAAATATGACCACCCGAAGTATAAGAATGTCTGCAGAGTTTAGGAGTTTGTTTCGTTTCCTGTGAAGAATGTGCAGGCAAATTTTTATCAACTATATAGTTTACAATATATATTAAACTCTAGCAACATTTTCTCTCGCTTCTGCATCAATATTATTTATTTTTAAACAGGTTTTTACTTATTCCAAAGCTTGCGTTTGTATTCGTTTGTTTCTGTTTACTGCTATTTTAAAATTAAGTTAACGATACACGAACACTGTTGCCCATTTTCAAAATATATTCAAAATATTTCGATTTAATATTGGATTTAAAACAAATGCTAGTTTTGAGTTGATTTTAATTTGTATGGTAAATCTTCGTAAAATTGAGATGATTGAGCACCTAAATCGAGATAATTTCCTTAATCATGATATGAGGGTATAGTCTAAATTATTTTTATTTGTTTCCTTAGTAACTAGGAATAGAGTTGGTAAGTTAAATCTAATTGATTGAAGCGTATATTGTATTTTTCTCTTTTACATTTTGTTTTTGGAACAACCTTTGTTTTATTTTCCATAATTGTTTTCAACAAGACACTTGATGTTACCTGTATAAATGTGCTATTCCAGTGTATAAAAGAATTGTAGCGATTTTTCACAGAAAGAAATTGACATTACTACCGGTCATACTTTGTTATCAATCATCAGTACTCGACGTTTATTCATCGTAAGAAGAAGAGTACGACAAACGCTGTTTTAGGATAAAATATCATTTTCATATTGATTATCAAAAGTTTAACTAAGATGGTAAAATTAACGCCTGAATTAATAAATCAATCTATGCAATTCATCAATCCCTGCCGGGAGCGGGAACTAGATTTGCGTGGATACAAAATACCACAAATAGAAAATTTGGGCGCAACGCTAGACCAGTTTGACACCATAGACTTATCCGACAACGATCTCAGGAAATTAGACGGATTGCCTTATTTATCACGTCTGAAGTGTTTACTTCTCAACAACAATCGCATTCTTCGGATAGGTGATGACTTACATGAATGTGTGCCTAACCTAAATTCCCTAATATTGAGTGGCAACAACCTGCAAGAATTGGGTGACTTGGAACCCCTAACTCAGCTCCAGCATTTAGAAACAATTTGTCTTCTTATGAACCCCGTCTCTACGAAACCGTACTACAGAGAATATATGGCATACAAGTTTCCACATTTAAGACTCTTGGACTTCAGAAAAATTAAGCAAAAAGATCGTAAGGCCGCTATTGAATTTTTCCGTTCAAAACAGGGAAAAGAACTACTGAAGGAAGTGGCGAAGAAATCAAAACAGAGCGCAGCTGCTGCTGCATTGGCTGATGGATCTGCTGCTAAAGCTGGTGGCGGACGATTTGCCAACCCAGAAGATATTCGACGCATTAGAGAGGCAATCAAACGCGCCAGTTCCCTAGCTGAGGTTGAGAGACTATCACAGATATTACAAAGTGGTCAAATTCCCGATAATTTTGTCCTAGAACAAAATGGAGCAACGACCAATGGAGGAGGCGGTTCAGATGTTGCCATGGAACATTAGTCATAAACCTTATTTTCTACTGTAACAAATTGTATCCCTCGTAAGTTTTAATTATAAATACAAAATTTTGAAATTTGTAAGAAGAAACTTTAAAGAAATGTATTTATTTTTGTTTTGGTAATCGATTGGCTTTATTCTTTTTCACAGAAAAAAGTTTGTATTCAAAATGACTTGAACAAGGGAAATATGTATTCATTACACAAAAGGAATCATTAAATCATAACAAAGCAAGGCTTTTTGGCTGAATCTTGGCTAAGCACCATGCATTCAAAAACCCGAGTTTATAAATATTTTCAAGTTTACATTTATATATAACATATTGCTTTCGAACACACACAAATTTGCCAATGACATGGAACGAATCGGTTTGGCTTGACTTTTATAAATGAGTAACTAAACAATTTAATTAACTACAAATTTTCGTCTATAAAGTAAATATTCAGATGTCTCAAAGTCCTTTCGCTTCCATTATGGAATCGTAGTGTAATCCGGTGTAGAAAATAATCCATGTTACCAAAAATCCCGCAAATGATGTCATAAAGCCTTCTTTAATCAATTCCCAAGCGCCGCCATAGGCCTCTTCGTCGATTGATTGGAAATGTATGGCATAAACATAAACTAGGCCACAACTTATACCAGCAAATCTGCAATGAAAAATACTTTTATTTCATGAACGTATTTGACTTTTATATCTTAAAACTTACAGAACAAGTCCCAGAAAGCCTTTCAGTGGAACAATACCCCAAACAATGCCTAAAATAATACCAAGGACTTGGCGGGACCAGTAAATAACATCTAAGAATTCATCCTGAAAATAAGAAATTAAATAGTTTTACTTTATTTTATATAGAAGTGTTCAGTTTTCATTTGTCGCCTTGATGCTTTTGTTAATATAAATATCGACCTAATTAACAGCTTAATTAAACATTCAACTTGTTAAAATAATTCACGTTGGACCCTCATCCCCCTTCAACATTTTGTCATCAGCCCTTTCTCGCATACCTTATCTAGCCACTCTGATTTTGCTGTCAACGCACGATTGCAAATCTCCTTCAGAGATGAAGATTTGGAACTGCCACTTGAATTGTGCTGTATTGTATTTGTTCTTGTGGCCATTTCAATTCAACTTATAAACTTAAAAAAGAAAATAAAAGTCACAAATTGATGTTAAATGCAATTTCACTGTATTAGAAAAGGAAAAGAACGCAGCACCGACAACGAAAATCTCGACGTGTGATTAAGAATCTATGCCGATCAAATTAAATAGTTACCGGCGGTATTGTCAGTGTTGCCATTACATATTTAACAGAATTAACTAGCTGGCCACACAACATGTATTTGACATGCACATGTTTTACATATATATTGTAAAATTTCATCTAAAAGCGCCTTCACAGAGGTGACACGAGTTGCCTGTTGTAGCCAACTAAAAGTCATTTAAAGAGTGGTACAATAATTTTCAAGCTAAGACATAGCAATAACCTGAATACAATAGGGCTGTTCCAGAACCTGCAAAAATCTACTAATTTTGCGATTTTTTTCGATATCATAAAGGGAAAATCGTTTATCGTAGTAAAAACAGATCTGAAACAGACCAAATATTTTTTGTATGTGCATCATGGCAGAAGAATACAGGTAGATGCATCAACGCTTGGGAGCATTGATATGTCAAAAAAATGTAAATGTTTTTTCAAATATATGTAGAATTTTATATGTTTTCTTATACTACGTCATTCGGAGGCTATTATAATTCGCGTTTTCAACAATTTTTACAAATTTAAATAACTTTTCATTCAACATTTTCAATTCCAAAATTGGTTTGACAGTTCATTGTCCCAGCAGCTGTGTCGACGCGTCTACCTATATTCTTCTACCATGATGTGTATGCAGGGGTAGACAAAGGGTATCCCATGGGATGTCTGTGTGTTCACCAACACACTTGTAATAAATAAATTGTTTTGAAATTTCTGTCAAAGTTGTTTTGATAGAATATTTAGCTTTATTCAAGAAGTCGATGAGGAAGTTGCTGCCGGATATTTTTATGAATACACCGTTAGAAATAAATGTTCGTTCTCCCCAAAAAAAATTAGTTTAATATCGATAATGAATGAGAAAGGTTCTAAACATCCCATCGGCTAATGTTTTTTAAAATTTTACGTCTTGAAGGCTTTTCAAATAATATTCTTAACAATCCACATCCCGAAGACTCTTCAAAAAATATTCTTTAAGAAATCCACGTATCGAGTGCTCTTCTTTAAGAAATCCATGTCTCGAAAAATCTTTAAAAAATATGAAAACAGATATAAAAATATATAATTTTGAATTTTCTGCCTAGCCCTGATTTATGGTATCGAATAAAATTACAAAGCAGAAATCAAAGTGGTTCATAACTACCAAAAGGTAGCCCTATCAGGCCAGCTGTAGGCAACTTGATATGTCAAACAAATTGTTGTAATATGAATTCGCAAGATACATAAAATGAGAAAGAAACCTGAACAATTATTAAAATTGAAAATGTTGGAAAAGTTAAAAACAACCCAAATATGAGGTATTGTATAGTTTGTAAGCGAGTACAAGCAAAGACCAATACCTTTGTAGAACAAGGAAAGATCAATACCTTCCTTAACATACACTTCTAGTTCATACATATTTCTATTTCCTACTATTCACCAAATCTTAGATTTCTTCTCTATCCCTCAAAGGGTAAATGAATCACCCAGACAATAGTCTATGTTCTTTCATAATATCTTCATCAGTTCATATTTGAACAATATATCTGGTACCTATCCTACAAAATATTTAATAATGACTATTCTCATAAAATGTGATATAATTCCCAGTTCTCTTCAAAGTAATAACACTAGATTTAGTGAAATTATTTAATCTTTATGATACGTCCCTGAAATAAAGTAAAGATAAATAAGTGGCCAAATTCTGAGTATATATTTCTGTCGAAGCTCCAACTGAACTTTTTTTTCTTAAAACTTGGATTTTTATTGATGGACGATTCCTTTAGGACTTCGAGATAAACAATTATAATACGTCCTTTAAATAAAGAAAACATAAATAAGTGATCAAATTCTGATTATATATTTCTGTCGAAGCTCCGACTGAAGCTCCTTAAAACTTGGACTTTTATTGATGGACGATTCCTTTAGGACTTCAAGATAAACAATTGGTCTCATTTCAAAAATAAAAAAAATTAGGTCTGAAATAAATCAACAAATCCACCATTTGAGATCCGCAAATATGCTTTCGAGATATAGCCACGACTGAGACCCGGAATGTTCTTCAAATATCCACGATTTAAGAGCCGGTAATTTTCTTTAAAATTTGAGGATTTGATGTGTTGAAGGAATCTACATTTTTAGAATTCCACGGCAAAATTCATTGTTTGGAGCAGCAGCCTTTGTAAATTATCCTCATTTTGGTGGTTGTTTCTTGGTTTCTTGTCTTATTTCGAGTCTTCGACTTTTTCACAAAATTTCCTTGTAAAATATATATTTTTTAAATGTAAATAAAAATAATTCAATGCATCAAAATGAAATTTTCTGATTGGTGTAAAACAATTTGCCTCAAATTTTATATGTCAAGTAAATTCGTCTTGCTTACAATTTCGACATATCAAGTTCCGACAAAAGTTGCTTTGTTGTAATTTTCGCCTATGTTGTTACCTGGTATTTCTACCATGTACCAAACGAATTTAATTTTTTTTAGTTCTGTGCGTTTTCTGTGAAAAATTTTTACCAAGGCCCATTAAATAGGTCGTCCGATTAGCCCACCTGATTTCACCCACTTTGTCAAAATACATTTGTTTATATTTGGAATTCGCCGAAAAAATGACAAGCTGTCATTATACAATAGGCCTGCCTGGTCATTTTCCTGAAGTAATTGTCTAGTAGTTTCTTTCTGAGAGTTTTATTCTCTTTTATTCTCAGCTGATTTATGAAAAACGAAGGAATAAAAAGAAGTGAAGTACACACAAATAAAATAATAAAAATAAATAAAATAAATATGTTTTATATGTTCTTCGGAAGGAGAAGAATGATTAAATGATTCTTGCAAATGATTGCAAGAAGAAATTTGTCCAGGAAGAATTTGCAAACACTCAGTGAAAGAATAACTCTCTTTTGCAGAACTTTTGTGTTAAAAGTAACAGTTGTTAAAAATTTTACGGTAACCAGACACACCTAATTCTATTCTGACTGCTTGACTGCAAATCCGATTTTTCCTCCATTCCAAAGTACGAAGACGCAAGGTCAAAAAGGAGCACAATTTGCCAAAATATGTTCATTGAAACGTCTTGCCTTCTGTATAATTTTAATACTATGCTCGTGTGCCTTGTTTCGTATGCTTTACTTTGTTTTTTTTTTCTCGTAGATGTTTACAAATTGGCCACAAAAAAGATAAAAAAGGCGAATTATTATCCGTTTCAGAAGAAATTTTGACAGTTCAAAGAAGTAAAACAGCTGTTTTTAAGGCAATGGGCCTTGATTTGTACATATTCATGCTATTCTATTCCAGAATTGCAATAATTGCTCTGTTCCAGTACCTGCAAAAATCTACTAGTTTTCTTCGATATCATAGAGGAAGAATCGGTTAAGGTAGTAAAAACGTTTACCTTCTTGCAGTTGTGGAACAGACCAAATGTAAATCTTTTTGCTTGTACCATGCGTGGTAAAATAATACATGCAAGCGCATCAAAAAAGCTGCTGTTCAATGAATTGTCAATCTATTTTAGGGAATTCAAAATGATGAATAAAAATTTTTTTTTATTTATTTATTAATTATTATTATTATTTTTTTTTTGTTTTGAATAATGAACTCTAAACTGCAACGTACAAGAAATTGAAAAAATAAATTAATTTTTTTCGACCATTAATTAACCATTAATTTGCTGAGCGAGCAAAGATTTTTGTTCTTTGTTCCATTTAAATCACTCTCAGAACTAAGATGAAATGTGTGCCATCCCTAACAAATGAGAGCATTTATCCAAAAAATAAACTTCGACAATTAAAAATTCAAAATAGAAAAATTTAATAAAATTTTACAAAATTTTGGGAAGACTGAAAATTACGAATGAAAACTACAATGTTGAATGGAGTATGTACATTCAAACGAATGTAAATTTTGTTTTCTCTCCCATCCGAGGTGGGCATTTTGTCCGCGAGTTGAAATTTCCAAAGAGGCAAAAATGTTTGTATCGACAGAAAAAATATTTGACAAGTGTCTCTCCAGCGGAATTTAAAACTAAAAAAATACAAAAATACGTTCAAAATGTCAAAATTTACACAAAAAGTTGAAAAAATCAATGAAAATTGTAAAATTAATGATATAATAAATCTTTGGGAGGAAAACAATGTTTTCTTCTATTCATATTAGTGAGAATTTCATGTATTTTCGTATAAACTTTCATTAAAATCAACAAACAAAATTTTTTAAAAAAGGAATTATTTTAATATGAATTACGAATCGAGAGCGAACAACTAGATTGAAAGTGCAATGAGAACATATCATAAAAGTTTTCACTGCGATAACCGATTTTGCTTGTGGGAACAGGCAAATTATTCGTCCGGGATTTGTTTTTAAAACAAATTGATACCTGATTTATGTAAAATGTATGAATAAAATGAAACTTTTACTTTAAAAATCGATTAGTCGATTTTTCTACAAATATTTAATTTCGATTAGAAGAGAGTGGTGCCAATTTTATCTTGGGAATTACCGAATCACAAAGAAATAGAGCGTCTGTTGCAGACATTTGATTTTTATTTAAAAGAAGAATTAAATTCTATTGACAATGGAGTCCATAAGACAAATGGATAGAAAACTCAAAAAACTTTGCGCTGAATACGAGAAGGCTGTACATGAGTTATTAGAAATATATTTAAAAGATCCTAATTGTCCCGAGTTGAAGCTAAAGCAGCTGTTTTCGAGAAACCAAGCATGGATTTTGGAGGTTTTTTTGTTGGAGATATCCAGGAAGAAGACCGAAGTACAAATTCGGCTCATAGAGGCAAGACCATACAATTCTGGGATTCATCAATATCAAAAACTTGTCGAAATGACTCATCATTACGAAAACTTTTGTGATTATGCACGGAAATATTTCGAGGATCTTAAAAAGAAGATGATTATGGAGAGCGTAGGTGCTTTTGAACACACATTTAATTGGAATATTTAAATATGAATATTTAAGGATTTATATTCGAAGTTTGTTTATTTTTCTTTTCGCAATGATATTTTTGTTTTGAGTTCTGTTGCGTTTTTCATATCAAATAAAATGAATTTGCAAATTTGTTTCAAGTAGATTTTTTTAATGAATAACAAGGTATAACAAGTAAAAAAGCAGTAAGTTCGGTCGGGCCGAACTTTTAATACCCTCCACCATTTGGTACAAATTTGGCAATTTCCAAAAAAAAAAAAAACGTTAAAAATTCTGTTAAAATCTTAAAAATACCGAATGCTTATACGACGACGTGGACCTGCATAGGCAAGTTCAAATACCAAATTTGGAACGATTCCGTTAAATAATGCCGCTAAAATCATCAAAATACCGAATATCGGGGGGTACCGTTATATGGGGGCTATATGAAGACGTGGACCTGCACAGATAATTTTCTGCCTTAGGCTGTAGTATCTATTACGAACTTCAAATGCCAAATTTGAAACAATTCCGGTGAATAATGTCGTTAAAATCATCAAAATACCGAATATCGGGAGGTACCGTTATATGGGGGCTATATGATAACTTGGACCTACATGGCCCATTTACGAACTTAACCTGCTTACTGGCAAAATATACATATGTGCAAAATGTTAGCTTTCTATCTTAATTTGTTCGAAAGATAGCGTGATTATAACAGACAGACACACAGACGGACATGGCTAATTCGTCTTAGAATTTTACGCTGATCAAGAATATATATACTTTGTTGGGTCTGACATGAGTATTTCGAGAAGTTACAAACGGTTACAACCTGGTACCCGGATATTTGATTTGAAAGTTGAAGTTCATGACCCTGGTTAGTCCCGGTCAACTAAACTTATATATACAATATGGGTGTAATTTGGTTTAGGGGGATACATCAAAGTTGTGGGGTTTCATAAAAAATGTACCTACACCAAATTTTAACAAACTCGAACCTTTCTAAAATGCTACAATATGTGTGATTTAATTATATCATCCTCCATAAGATTCCAATTGATGCCTATGTTGCCCATATTTGTTTATTTGAGTCCGAGTACCCATGTGCGCCCCAAGAAAAAATACCTTCCGGGAATTACAATTCAACCATAATAAAAATAATAAATATATGTAAGCAAACATATAAAAGTCTACTTATTTTTAAACAAATATTTTCAAAATTTCGACATATCACTTGATGCATCTACCTGAATTTGTTTTACCTTGAATTCAGTCATGTATCATTAAAATACCTACCTCTGCAAAAAGCGGAATGTTTTTATCACTAAGGTGGAATTAAGGCAACCGACTTGAAGGGTGAGATAAAAAACTTATTTTTTTTAATTTTATTGAATGAAAGCAAAAAATGTCGGAAATAGCATCAAATTTTAGAATAAGTTAAGATTTTTCGAATTGGTCAACTTTGGCCTTCAAACGGACAACGAAACCGTCACACGCTGCCCGAATGTTGCTCTGCGGAATTTTGGCCCATTCGCTTGCCCGAGGTAATCGACACTTTGGTGTTTTTTAGTGTGAACCTTGCTTTCCAAAATGGCCATCATGCGCTGGAAATGAAGTGAGGAACCTCTTTTGTAACCATTCTTGGGTGGCGGGTGGAATGTTCAAGGCTTTAATGGAATTTCTATGGCTTTACACCGAGTTAATTTTTCAATATTTGCCGAATGGAATATTGTGATATGATCAGCTCACGAGCCATTTTCGGCCCCTGCGACGCGGGTTTCGATCAAGTCACATTTTTACTTTTCAATCATTTCTGCCGATGTTGCTGTTTTCTTCCGTCCACTTCCTTGACGTCGGGCTCCGCTACCAGTATCACGGTAACGAGCGATGGTATGAGACACAAAAGATTTATTCATATTTAAATGCTGGAGTAGTCTAACGATAGCCACTTGTGGTTTTCCAGTTAAAAATAAAGAAATCACGCTTGAATTCCATCATGAATAACTTTTTCTGGAAAAATCTTACCAAAATGCTTTCGTACGCTTGTAAACAATATAATGAGCTGTCACTGAAAAAATTTTAACAGTTATCGGACAAGTGGCTTATTGTCTACAACTTGGATGGATTTTTTGAAATTGTGAAGTTCGAAATTATATAAATAAGATCGAAAAAATCTAATTGTCACATATAAATTACACACATGGTACAATAAAATCAAGGTAGGGATATAATACCATACGATTTTATTTTTTTCTTGGTTTAACATGTCAACTTTATTTCTATATGTGTACGTATTCTTTTCAATAACAAATGAATTGTTCAGAAAATTCGAATTCGGCCTTTGGCATGATATTTTTACCCAACCTTTGGTAGGGTATTTGAAACCATTCTTATGGTAGGTTATCAGGCCTTTTGCATTTTAACCTCATCTTTGTGGATATGGGCAATAAGTACTGGAAGAGATCAATTTAAATTTGACTAATGTGATGTGTAATCAGGGCTTAATTAAACGCAATTTTTGTTTACTATTTAAATAATTCGCAGTGTAAAAGCAGAGGTGTTTCACTAACAGGGTGACACAGAACTAATAATTTGACACAGCTGCGACACACCTTGTTATTGCTGTCATTGTAAAACTTTGAAGAAAAAAACACAACATTACGTCAAAACAACTAAATTTTTCTTCTTTGATTAGCCAAAGATTTTTATAACAAGACTTGTGATTAATTAAGAGTGAAAAAGCAGAATTCCTCCTGTTAATTGTCGTTCTACAGAAATATTGTGCAATATTGTGATTACAGTAACCGAACTGCCTCTATAATCGATTGGTGCAACTTGTCGAGACGTTGGTTTGTTGCTTTTGCCCTCGTTCAAAGTGTCATAGCTGTCTTCTGGCAGGGGAGAGTGAGTAATGGCAGAATCAATAGTCCAAGATTGGCTTTCGGATTTTCAACGTATCCAGGGTCAACCGGAAGAGATCAAAGAGTTTGCCGCCGAACATGACACTGAGTCGGAAATCGCTGAGGTTATATTCACCATACTCAACGAACGTCAGCGCCACGAATCATTGGTCCATGATATATGCCAGCAATTGTTGGCCTTCTATCGCAGCACGGAAAAGACATTGCAAAAGTTTCCCCTTCAATTTATACCTGTTCTAATCTATACGTACCTGCGTGCCGTAGCCGGTGGTGATAAGAAGGGCGTGCGTAGCCTAGAAACCCTGCTCATTTGCATTTACAATGGAGAGGTGTCCACAGACGATGGCAGTCCAAGAATAGTACAATTTCGTATGCCAATACTTGCGCAAGCCTCAGTATATCACGAGGAGAAGAATCTGCCAATGACTGATTTGAGGCGGTGGGAGGAGAATTGCAATCGAGAGGTAAAATGGGGACCCCATCCGAGAATTGAAGCAATAACAGCCCAGAACCGCCTGAGAATAATGACGGCATTATTATTTTGCTACAATCAACAAGTTAGTTTAACGCAAAAATCGGCATTAATTTATTTGTGTCGGGTAGCCTCTCAATTGGTCACCGAAGGTTTTACTTCGAAAATGACACATGCTCACAGGATCTCATATGGGTAAGAAAATAATTAGTTGAACAACAGATAGCTAAACTAAATAGTCTGTTAATAAGGGTTGTTTGATCACGTGTTGATTCATTGCTAATTAAGTTTGTGACCTTTAGCCAAAGAGTAAACTATGCCCTGCTCGAGATTTATTGTAATGATCTAAGCAGTAGCTAGAAATGTTCTGAAAATTATTATTTTCAATGACCATTTAAAAAAGTGAATTTTCGCATGATCTGTAGGAAACAACAAAATTATATATATACTCAAAAAGTGAGGAAGAACTGTATAACAAAATATGTAGTGCATCTCATTGGCTGGTAAAATGTACTTTGAGTATACAATATTCGTGATGTACACTTAAACATTACTTCATATAAGATAATTACAAACATTACAGACACCTGCTAATCATGCAATATTTGTCACTACGAATGTCATTGTCATTATATAATTGATTGAATGTGGTATTAATTTTGAGGTAATATGATATTCGTCAGATATATAAATAAAACGAATGTCAACCACGCCTTAAATTAATACACTAAGATATGGGCTAATTGCATTTCGTCATTTTGGTCCCTAGATGTCAAAACATATTGATCCATTGGAATGTTTGAGCCATATGTTTATGTCAATTGAATTTAATCTATTATGACAGATTATTGTGGTATAGAAACGTTCTATAAATAAAGTTATTCGAAGCTTTGTTGTAGCCTCCATTAAATATTTGAAAGTTTCATAAAAAAAGCGTCTTAATTTGGTTGCAATTATTGTTTCAGGTTCCTAGGTTTTTATGCAGGCAAATGTGTTTCTTATACTTCACATTGGACATAGCCTTTTTTATCATTCATCAGCATTTATTCGACATATTCTTACTAAAATACATGATAAATGATTCGTATGCGTAATAAATTAAATCTATATGTCCTAATTAATATTCTTAACTTATGATATGTGATGATGTCAGATCAACCTTAACTCTTTACGTCATTCAATTTCATAACAGTTAACAAAATAAAAATTGGCCCACAATTTACCCTTTTACAGCTTCAAAACAGCAACAATATAAGTTAGGGCCAGGTTTTGTGGGTCGAAAAAAAAAGGAAAGAAAAACATAAGTTCATGGTGTGTTTTCAAACTTGAGATTGTTATTCAAATAAAATAAATTCAAGAATATGAAACCAGTAAAGAAAGTCGGGCGGGCCGACTTTATGATACCCTACACCACTTTGCTAATTTAGTAGAGCTCCACATAACAATTAAAAGTTTTTATGGGAGAATTCAATCATACACCCTATGATTATAATTATAATTTAAAATTCAAAGGACTAAATATGTCGAAGCATTTGTATCTTTTAAATTCGGACTTGTGTTGCCCATTTGGTGCGCAAATAATTTAAAATCGGATAAAAATATATATGAGAGCTATATCCAAATCTGAACCGATCTCGATAAAATTTAGCAAATATATTTCTGAGCTGTATTTGATATATTTCCCCAAATATTGTTGTTGCAGAGTGCATATTACGGCGGCGGTGGACAAAAATAACAAATCGTATGAACAATATATATGGGAGCTATAGCTATATCTGAACCGATTTCGATCAAATTTGGCATACATATTATCAGGGTGTATATGCAAAATTCCATACAATTCGGGCTGATATTACACGTTTGGTGCACAATAAAAGGCAAATCGGACGAAGATATCTCCAATTTCAATAGGGTTCGTCCTTTGGCCAAACAAATGATCTGTGCAAAATTTCATCTGGATCGGGCAATAAATGTGACCCGTACTTTGTTTACAAAAATACATGGACAGACGGACGGACGGACATGCATAAATCGACTCAGAATCGACTCCTTTTGCCTGTTACAAACAAATGCACAATGACATAATACCCTGACCACCTTGTGGTGTAGGGTATAAAAAATAGAATTGTTGTTTTCTTACGACATGCCTTAGCAGAACCGAGGTATATTGCATATACCTTAAAGAAGCCCTAATATTTAACAATATTAATATTTTGATCAGTTTTTTTAATTTGTTTACATGTCCTTTTACAGTACATTAACAATTCAGCAGACTAATTTAATGTGCTTCTGAATCTCAATTTCAATGTCTCTCAAAATTAGAATATTGTTAATCGAAGAACATGGAAAATGGTTTTCGATTTCGATCAAATTTGGCATACATATTATCAGGGTGTATATGCAAAATTCCATACAATTCGGGCTGATATTACACGTTTGGTGCACAATAAAAGGCAAATCGGACGAAGATATCTCCAATTTCAATAGGGTTCGTCCTTTGGCCAAACAAATGATCTGTGCAAAATTTCATCTGGATCGGGCAATAAATGTGACCCGTACTTTGTTTACAAAAATACATGGACAGACGGACGGACGGACATGCATAAATCGACTCAGAATCGACTCCTTTTGCCTGTTACAAACAAATGCACAATGACATAATACCCTGACCACCTTGTGGTGTAGGGTATAAAAAATAGAATTGTTGTTTTCTTACGACATGCCTTAGCAGAACCGAGGTATATTGCATATACCTTAAAGAAGCCCTAATATTTAACAATATTAATATTTTGATCAGTTTTTTTAATTTGTTTACATGTCCTTTTACAGTACATTAACAATTCAGCAGACTAATTTAATGTGCTTCTGAATCTCAATTTCAATGTCTCTCAAAATTAGAATATTGTTAATCGAAGAACATGGAAAATGGATTAGCTAGTTATAGTTTATGTGTTACAAGTATTTATTGTTAAATTTTTATGATATACAATTATAATAATTGAAGTTATCGTTTTAAATATGAAAAAAATTCAATTGAATTGCTGCAGTTTTTGAAAGATAAATCAAACAACCTTTATTTTATGATATTATCAATGCTTTTTACAATGAATATATTGCATTTTTTATTTACGCTAATCATAACAATTAAACTTGTCTCTCATTTAAGCTCCGATCCATCACTAATGCCCAAATCAATGATACCACGCATTCCGTTATCCTCAGCATTCCTAGTGGAGTTAGTGCATGCCATTTATTTCGCCATGTTTAACGGCTTTGGTACAGTAGCCATCCAGACTCTGGAAGATATACATAATCGGGCATGTTTTGAAATGTATACGGAATTGATATTGATCACGAGTGCTATTCGCAATTCTCTGCATGCCAATCCTTCGGGACAGCCCAGTGATGGACCAATGGGTCTCAGTGTAGCTCTAACACCATCCACCAATACCGTTACCACCGCTGTATCTAAATCAATGATTACAAATGCATCATTCCGTACGAAAAAGTTACCCGACGACATACCCATTCAGGTGCAAGATTTAACAATGCCTCAGGCGCCACAACAATTGGCCAGTGTCACGGAGGAAACTGCCGAACAAACGCAAAATGCTAAAGAGTCAACGAGTCAGCAGGGCTCAAGAAATTCAATAATACGTCCCAGCATGGAGGGCATTAAGGCTCAGGCTCACAAGGCTTTAATTGCAGGCTTTAAAAAATCGAAAGACAAAGAGAAGGATAAAGATAAGGATAAGGACAAGGAAAAGGATACCACGAAATCATCAGTTCATCAAACTAATGGCAGTGCAACGACAAATAGTGCAGACAATATTAAACCACCGCAACGAAAATTAGACAAACATATACAACGCAATTCACTGCTTCAGTTGCAAATGGAGGGCTCAACGGCAATGGACTTTGAAAAAAGCCCTGGCCCTACGACCAAATCTAAAAACTATGATTCTATAGACACCATGGAAATGCTGCCCATGCAATCATTACTGGCCAATGAAAGTGGCAGTAATAGTTTTAGCATTGACAGTGATTTGAATGGTGGCACTGCAGTCGGTGTGATGTCGGGTGGAAGTGGTGGTGTGGGCGGCATTGGTGGTATCAATGTTGGTAGCACAGGAGGATTAGGCAATAATAGTAATAACAATAGTACAACCACCACCACAAGCAGTGACCTATTAACGACAAAAAGTTTTGATTCCAGTATTGAAATGCCAGCCATTGTTAATGCGACGACCGTTGTAGGGGGTGCTAAAACGACGAGTGATACTAACATGGATTAGTGACTTTCTAAGGCTTCCAGTAGCCGACACTGGCTATTTAAATTGCAATCAACAAAGAAAACCCCCAAGCGATAAACCATAAGAATAAAGAAACATGTTATAAAATGAAGCATCATTGATGCGTGCTATAGTTAAGGAATAAGCAAAGCAAAAGATGAATACACTAAAATATAAAAAATAACAAATGGTTGAATGTTAGAGCTTTTAAGTGGAGCAGTGTGTTACATTTCTTTTGTAAAATGAAAAGCACATCCAATGGAAAAGAAATCTGTCATAGCGTTGTGGGAAAAGTTCTGCTTTTACATCATGAAATGTAAATACATGTGTATACAAGTATTTCTTGATTGGTAGTTATTTTCATACTTTTGTTATTGTGCCAATTAATGATGAATCATTTTACTTTGCATTTGTTTTAGTAAATTTCGTATCAACAGTTTTAGAATTTGACTATCGTTAGAAAAGCACCGCTCCACAGTGTTTTTTCTTTATATTTTTTATCACACCACCTTTTATGTATTTGGCATTACATTCTGTGCTAATATTACTAAACTGCAAAGTAATTTAGTTTTTATTTCTTTCTATTTTTTCATTGAATTGTTATTTAGGTGTAAATTTATAATTTCCCAAGGCACTACTCACAAACCGCATCCAATAAAACTAAATATACTTTGAGTATGAGATATTTTAAAGAATATAAATACTTCTTTGTTAGTATGTGTACGTTTTAAAATTTTTTAAAATAACGGAACAGATTCTTAGAATGCTCACTGTACCTTTGTCGGTTAAACTGGTACTATATCTTTCCCTAAATTTCTATTCTATCTTCCTCTTAATTTTAAGTAAAAATTGTGAAGTACATAAATGAAAAGCGTTTAATAATCATTGTATATTTTTATTGTTTGTTTTCTTGTTCTTATACTTAAAAAATTAATAAATATATTTATGTAATTCTTAAACTTATAACAAATTCGTTATCAATGTATACATAAATTAAAATGGAAATAATGATGATAAATAAACAAATTATTCATTCACTTAACCACAGAGAGGCATGTCTCTCCTTATTAAATTGGTTTATATAAGTTTCAATAACAATTTATAAATGAAACAATTCTATGTTGAAAAGAGATTGAAAAACAAAGTGAATCCAAGATCTCAAACTCCTTACTAACATATAGTCCACGCCCTGTTTAGAAATTGGCAAAAAAAAATACTATGTTGCGTTCATTAACCAAACATATACATATTATCTTTTGGGCAAATTATAAAAATAAATGTTCTCCTTCGAAAGGGCAAAATGCATGTTTTTACGCATATATTTTTTATCAAAAGTTTTGAGTAGTTTAAACGATCTTTTCGGAAATAGAAGATTTGTACTTATTTAATTCAGAATTTAATACAGAAAAGTATTTCGCATTGGTTTTATGCAGTATTTTTATTGGCTATAAAAGGGCAATGATATCACAGGAACTTTTCAGATATTTTGAATATTTCAGACCAAATATTTAGAAGTTCTGGAATTAATTGCAAACATTCATCTATATGCGGTAGCTATTGTTGAAATGATTTTAACAACCATAGAAATCATTTATTTTTTCTATTTGTCCAAAAATACATTATTTTATATAATATACATTTGTGAATAATTGAATTGTTAATTAATTTTACTCTAGCAAGTTATTGTATTATTTTGAGCATTAATCGAATAAAACAAAAATGAATACAATAAATAAAAAATATCTATGTAATTGTGTGCATAATTAAAGAAAATAATAAATGACCAGATATGATAACAATACATACCTATTCTGTAATCTAAAGCCGACTAATAATGAAAATCATATATGTATTTATTGAAATGTTAATTACAATTACACCAAATCATGTTACATATTATCAATTAAATTAAAATAAAGAAATGGAAATTATAATCTACTAAAAATAAACTGTCAAGAGAAAACTATATATTCAAGTAAACAATTATTGCCTTTTTATTTGGTCTTTACGACTATAACTTACGGAATTTGCCTTGTAGAAAAATACGTGGTACATCGATACCTTCTTTTACATTAAGTGTACGACGATGTACGTACGAATTTGCCATTATCTCAAAACCATTTTCTCTAAATAAATTTGATAATTCCTGTTCGGCAAAATAATAACTTCGAGTACCATCTTGGCGCATGTAGAAATTATCGGAAATTTTATGTCCAGACTTAAATCTGAGTTGTGCCATGTCGTAACGACCATAGTCCCGAAATAGTACAATGCCACCAGGCTTAAGTATAGTGTGAAGATTTTTAATCACTGCATCGAATTTACAGGGTGAAATAGCAGACAGAACAAATATCATTGATATTATATCTATGCTTTCGGGGGGAATATTTTGATGAATTGAATTCGTCGTTGTATCGCATTGAAAGGCTTTAATACGATCCTCATTGTACTTTGGATTGGAACGAACAAATTCCACGGCCCGGGGAGAAAAATCACATGCATAAAAATAGTTATTTTTCTGTCCTAGGGATTCGAGTTCTTCCATTAAAGGAAACACAAAATTTCCAACTCCGCAACCCACTTCCAATAGTTTTCTGCACTCATTTCCCTCGCCCGATGGCAGGGAGGGATAGTCGTTAATTAATTCTTGAAATTCTCTCGTTGTCCATCGACGATCTTTAAAGAATCTAGTTTCATTACGTTTATAGAAGAGGTCCCAATGTTTTTGTGCCTATGGAGAACATGGAGACAGCAGTAGCTATTGTTATTAAACCTGAATCAAGGATTCATAACTGGCTTTTTACCTGCGCTTCTAATTGCCGAGCCTTGAACTCCGGTATTAAACGTTTATTCTGCTCTTCCAATTTCTGCTTCTCGTCATCAGTAAGAGACTTTTCTGCACACGTAAATACATCATCAATGAACTGTTCATTTGTATTCTCTTCCATTTCACTCTATTTACAAACAAATTCACGTTCACGTTTTCATTAGGGATGCAAATGTGCTCTATTGACTAATCGATTATTCGAAATTAATAACAAAATATCGGTAATGAAAAATATACAATTTATCGTTTTTGGTTTCCAGTCTTTCGGCATATGATCATGTTTTGATAATGCAGGCATTGGAGATTGTTCTGTTGTTCATCTTTCGCTCTGTTCCAGTACCTGCAAGAATCCCCTAGTTTTGCAATTTTTTCGATATCATAAAGGAAAAATCGGTTATCATAGTAAAAACTTTTACATTCTTGCAGTTCTGGAACAGACCAATTGCTTCCAACTTTTAGATAACCGACAATAAAGGGCAAAAGTCTCGCATTCGCTATCAAACAAATTTCGTTCGCAAAAACCAAGTATTCGCTTTTTAGACTGATGAAAATGATTGCCTGCAATAATCTACGAATTTTGCATTTTTTTCTCGGCATCATGAAGGAAAAATGGGAAATATTTTCACATTCTTACTCTTTTCCAGAACTTAGAAAAAAGTCTCTATGTCAATAGAATACCAACATATTACTGGCACTCCAAACTTTTCCGTCCCCCAAGAAAAAAACACTTGCTTAATCAGAGTAAAAATATCTACTCCTTGGAAAAATTATTTTATTTTAATAAATCTTGTTACTTTTTAAACTTTCCAACATATTTTGCAACACATATTTGATGATGGGGAAAGTAATTCACGCAGTTAAAATAAAAACGAACTTTATAGAGATCCATGAATATATTCAAATTCCCGGATTTAATCGATTGCCAAGTACATTAATGGTAATAATTCCCTCCAACAATAATTTTCTTTTTATCTCCTCGACATGTTTTTCTGCATACTCCTCGAAGTTTTCATAATGATGATTCATTGCGATAAGCTGTTGATATTCAGAAATTCCACAATTGTGTGGCTTCGCTTCTAGGAGTCGAATTTGTGTTTCACACTTTTTCCTACCTAGCTCCAAAAAAAAGGCATCTAATTTCAATTGTGTGTTTTTGGCGAATACTGTCTTTAGGTTCATTTCCTGGGAAGCTGATATCTCCAATAAAGCACGAGCAGCCTTCTCGTAGTCGGAACAGAGGCTCTTGAGTTTTCTATCCATTTGTCTTATTGCATCCATTGTCAAAATAATTATGTTCTTTGTCAAGCTTAAAATTAAGTTTCTGCAACGAACGACACGCCTTGCTTCCACGAGCTACTTTTTCGGTGATTCCCCTGTAACAAGAAATTTCGACTAATCGATATCAAAAATAAATAGTTGTTGAAGATCGACTAATCGATGTTTGCATTAAGAAAACAATCTAGCTTACATTAAAAAGGTAGGTAAACGCTAATCATCAGAATTAGATTACAAACTTATAGTCAACGTCTATGTGAGGTAAGACAGAAGACTGCTTTTGATAACAATTTGACAATAAACTTTGTAGTTTATTCATCACTATCGTGCTTTGACTTTCTGTGAATTTATATCTTTCTGATAGAAAAAAGTGATGCTGTCGGACACATAAATCGTTTTTCGTTGTTACAAGTTTCATTTAAGTATGAACTGTCCGATAAGCAAAAGATCAGACCATCTTCCCTTTATCTTTTAACGTAGTTTACTGAATTCATGTAGCCATATTTTATATTGATAATATGGCAATAACAGCAAAATTTATTTAAATAAAAAAGTGGATAACGCAAATCGTTTATTCTACATTGAAGAACTGATTTATAAATTTATTTCACGAAAGGAAGTAAAAATTCGTTTTGTTAATTATTTTTAAACTAAAATGAAGATGGCATTGTAAAAAAATGCAGGGACTACCAGTTACTTTTACAAAAAATTGCCATATCCCTGTAAAAAAATCTAAAGTATGGGATAAAGGAATGATATAAGAAAGGAATGATATAAGAACGGGCCATAAATTGTCAATGACATTTAACAAATGCTCCGCTCCAGAATCTACAAAAATATAATTACTGTAATAATTTTTTTATGTATGATACAAAAAAATTCAAAGTTAGTAGAATTTGGCATATTCCAGTACTGATCAAAAATTAAAAACAAATAATCAAACAAAAGAGAGTTTTTTCCATGGAAAAGTATACGAGGTAAATGTATGCTAAATTTTGATAATATTTCATTGACAACATCCAACTTTCAAAATTAAAAATAATAATTGAAAATAAATAAAAAATTCTATTTCGAAATGCGTTCCCTGGCAAAAATATACATCGTTTATGATTTTGAAATTTCCGGCATCTATATTATATAAAACAAAATTTTAATAATAAGTAATAGATCACAAGAATAATATGAATTAAGGTGGGAATACATAAAGCGCTTATCTGGCTGGCTTAAGTCATCGGCTGTCTTCTTCGGAAATGAAGAAAGGAGACTAGGGTCAAATCGAACTAAGTCAACCTAAAACTCCTTTGTTAATCTACGAAGAAGCTAGCCGATTAAAGGTGAGAACACATAGAACTAGTTTTTTACTCTCTTAAGTCATCGGCTGACTACTTCGTAAAAGAACAAATGGGTAGGTTGCCTTAGCTCAATTTCGGGCCATAATTTATATTTGTTCGCCCTATCATTCTTTGTTCTGCATACGTAATGTGGCGTTTCCACTGCACTTGATTCGCTCTCTATTCGTTGTTTGACCCTTAACTATGAAAAAACTACCTAATTCTTCACACAAAATTTCCTGAGCGAACACTCATATTTGTCCGTTGTTCAAATCAAATCACTCTCAGAACAACGAAAAAATATGTCCCATCCCTAACAAATGAGAGCATTTATCGAAAAAATAAATTATTACATTTAAAAATTATAGATAGAAAAATTTAATGAAATTTTAAAAATTTTGGGAAGACTGAAAATTATGAATGAAAACTACAATGTTGAATGGCGTATGTACATTCAAACGAAAGTAAATTTTGTTTTCTCTCTCATTCGAAGTACGCATTTGGTCCACGAGTTAAAATTTCTACAGAAAACTGCAAACAAAATAGTCAATATTTTCAAAACGTTTCTATCGGCAGAAAAAATGTTTGACAAGTGTCTCTTCAGCAGAATTTAAAAATGGAAAAACACAAAAATATGTTCAAAATGTCAACATTTACACAAAAAGTTGAAAACGTGAATGAAAATAAGAAAATTAATGATATAATAAATCTTTGGGAGAAAAACAATAATTTCTTATATTCATATTAGTGAGAATTTCATGTATTTTCGTATACATTCCCTTTAAAATCAACAAAGAATTTTTTGAAAAAAGGAATTATTTTACTATGAATTACGAATCGTGCCGTATGAACGGGTTAATTCGTGTACCTAATTCTGAGAGCGAACAATGTTGTTCGGTTTCCAATGGAAACATGCTATAAGTTGTCTGGTCCAGAATTGCAAGAATGTAAAAATGTTTACTACGATAACTTATTTCACCTTTATGATATGTGATGTCACTCCTTTATGATATCGGGTCACTCCTTCTCATACCTCCTCCACACAAGGTTAAAGCTTTGATTAATCAATTCGCACAAAATTGGAAATAAATGTTAGCTTTTGGTAACTGGGAGCATGTCTCAATAAGAAAGGTTGCTCAACTTCGAAGAAACTGGAAAAATGCAACTCTGTGCTGGAGTCTTATAGTGTCAAATAGACTTTTATTTTTCATTTTAATATTCTTATATATTTTTTAATATTCTTATATTGGAGAAGACCCGCGAAACAAGAATGGAATTTTAGGGTTATTCCACATGATTGAATCTAAAATAGTAGGACAATACAGTTTTATCCCAATGTTGTACAATGTGTTGCCCCTTTAAATCGAAAGTATGCATTTATTTTGCAACCGAATTTGAAATAATTTCAGATTATTGTATTTTTTATTCAAAACAATACACACACATACACAAAATGTGTGATAGAATAAGACCAAAATAAAAAAATTGTATTTAGGTGGTAGCGATAGATTCTTCGTGGATACACCCATGGCTCAATAAGAAAGGTTGCTCAACTTAAAAGAAACTGGAAAAATGCAACCCTGTGCTTGAGTCTTATAGTGTCAAATAGCCTTTTAAATATGCAACAATTGGTTTTGTTTATTTTTCATTTTTTAAAAAAAAAATCTTATATTGAGAAAACTTACGAAACAAGAATGGAATTTTAGGGTTATTCCACAAGATTAAATCTAAAATAATAGGACAATACAGTTTTATCCCAATGTTGTACAATGTGTTGCCCCTTAACCTCGAAAGCATGGTAGAATTACAAGGTAACCCTTTCAGGCCAGCTGGTATCTATTTGATATGTCAAAAAATTGTTGTAATTTGAATTCGCCTTCATTTACACATAACAAAATTGTAGCATGATTTCAAACTTTAACAATGCTATTGATAGAAAATCGAGATTTTACGTTTTTATAGAGTATGAGAGAAAAAGTGTATATTCAACATATGGTAGGCATAGGTAATATGGAGATCTGAAATTCGTGGATATTTCAAATAAGTGAAACAGGGAATCAATTTCATATAGGAGATAAACCGATACATGGAATTTCATCATCTTATTTGTACGGATTTTCAACTATGTTATACACTATAGGGCTTCAACTGTGAAAGGTGAATGATTCCAAAGCATATTGGATTGGTTTGGGGAACAAAACATTGGCAATTTTTGGGGTGTGAATAAATATTGAGATAATTTTTTTATTTCAAATTGTTCGAATGTATTAAAGTTATCTATACATAAAAGACTTCCTGTCTGCTATACATTTCATAGCTATGCAAATAATATGCGTGGACTCACAGTAGACTCAGCCCCCTGTATCTTCTGCAATCTTTGATCCAAATCTTAAGTAAGCCTGAGGAGTAAATATACCCTAAAGTACCTTTTAGGTAGCATGTCACTACAGCGAGAAAGCTGACGATGCACTATGGGTTTTTTTACGTTTATTTTGGCATAAACTCTAATTTCAAAGCTATTGAATTGAAATTTGGTTTGTATGCATTTTTTATGCTTCCAAGATGACCTACCAATTTT